GCCTGGCGTCAGACTGCTCCGCCCAGTCTGACTGCCGGGGGTGCTGGAGGATACTCAACCAGGGTTCGCCATCCGAGAAACTTACGGGAGGAGGAAAAAGGCGCTCGCATCCCCGGGTGAGGGAGAATGGCGTAGCAAGCATGACACCGGCCAGCTCTTCCCGCACGGCTCGCCTTGGGATTGGTACACCAAGGTGATGGCATCCACTATCCAGTGGGCCAACCTCTGCTTGAAGACAGCCTTCCCTTTCTGCTGACCTCCGTAGCAGACAAAGAACTGCTCAGAGCTTCTGAAACTCCTGGTGCGGTCCATGTATATGCGCAGCGCTCTTACGGGACACGGCAACGCCAAGGCTGGATCTGCCTCCTCCGAGGGCAGTGCTTGCAGGTTCACCACCTGATCGCGAAAAGGCGTGGTGGGAACCTTGGGCATGTATCCAGGCCGGGGTCTCAGGACAATGTGAAAGTAGGCCGGCCCGAACACAAGGCACTCTTCGCTTACCAAAAATGCTTGGCGGTCCCCGACCCTCTTGATGGAAGTGAGTGTGGTCAGGAGCGCTGTCTTAGCAGACAGGAATTTAAGCTCGACTGAATACAGAGGCTCAAAGGGATCCCTCTGAAGTCCAGCCATGACGATAGAGAGATCCCAGGAGGGCACCAGGGGTGACCTAGGAGGATGTAACCTTCTGGCACCCCTCAGGAACCTGACGATGAGATTGTGCTTCCCCTGTGACCGGCTGTCCACTGCATCATGATGGGCTGCAATAGCAGCCACATACACTTTCAAGGTGGAGGGTGACAGCCTACACTCCAACCTCTCTTGCAGGAAGGAAAGCACTACTCGAATCGTGCATCTTCAGGGGTCTTCTCGGCGAGAAGAACACCAGTTTGTGAACAGACTCCACTTCAGTGCATAAGCTTGCCTCGTAGAGGGAGCTCTAGCCTGAGTGATGGTGTCCACCACTGCCTGCGGCAAATCAAGTCTGCCGCGTCCCATCCAGGAGCCACACATGGAGGTTCCAAAGATCTGGACGCGGGTTCCACATGGTGCCGAGCCCCTGAGAAAGGAAATCCTTCCTCAGAGGGATGCGCTAGGGAGGGGCTGTCGCGAGGAGCATGTGTTCCTGAAACCAGGTCCGGGTGGGCCAGTACGGCGCAATCAGCAGGACCTGTTCCTCGTCCTCCCTGACCTTACACAGTGTCTGTGCAAGGAGGCTCACTGGGGGAAACGCATATTTGCGTAGAGCCCGAGGCCAGCTGTGTGCCAGTGTGTCCGTGCCGAGGGGGGCCTCGGTCAGGGAGTAATACAGCTGGCAGTGGTAGGACTCATGGGAAGCAAACAGGTCTACCTGTTTGCTTCCCATGAGAAAACAACTCCAGGCAGTTGATGTGCCAAAGCCAACAACTCCAGGCAGTTGATGTGCCAAAGCAGTCGAGGCCCCATCCAGGAACCCGAGGCTGCCTGCCCGTTGCATGTAGCACCCTAGCCCGTACTGGAGGCATCAACAACATGCCGGGACACTTGTTCTTAGGGCACCCCGGCCCGTGGAAAAGCAAGGTCCGACCAGGGGCTGAATGAGCGGCGACACATTGATGTGATGGTCACACAATATGTCCTGTGCATGCCCATCTCGGGACTCGGGAGTGTAACCAGTGCTGAAGTGGTTTCATATGAAGCAACCCGAGCGGCATGACTGCGGATGCCATATGCCCCAGGAGCCTCTGAAATTGTTTCAGCGGAACCACCGTCCTGCCTCTGAAGGAACTCGTTGGTGAGATGCGCTGTCATACTCACAGAGTCCAACTCCACAACGAGAAAAGAGATCCTCTGCACCGGGGACAGTTTGCTCTTTTCCCAGTTGACCCGAAGACCCAACTGGCTGAGGTGCCGGAGCACCAGGTTCCTGTGATCGCACAACTGCTCTATTGACCGGGCCATGATGAGCCAGTCGTTGAGATAGTTGAGGATCCTGATGCCCTCTTCCCGTAATGGGGCAAGGGCACCCTCCGTGACTTTCATAAAGACACGGGGGAACAGGGAAAGCCCGAAGGGGAGGACCCTGTACTGCCATGCCCGACCCTCGAACGCAAACCATAGGAACGGTCTGTGTCGAGGAAGCGTCTCAGACTGCCACCGAAGTCTCGACAACGCCACTGAACTTGGGAGGTCACCTGGCGAACTGAATCGCATAGCCGAGTCGAATTGTGTGGATGAACCAGCGAGACTGGCTGGGCAGCGCAAGCCATGCCCCCAGACAAGTGGCACCAAAGGAACAATAGACGTACCCGCGGTAGTGCAGCGGAGGGAAGTAGAGCTGGATGGTACAGAAGGCATCGTGTTCTGACTCATCCCCGCAGAACTCCCTAAGTCCCCGGGGGGACTGGCCAGAGATGTGTGGAGAGGCAACAAAACAGAAACAAAACAAAACAAAAGATTCTCCGCCCGGCCCTCCTCCGGAGGAAGGAGCGGCGTTGTCCTCGCCGTCTCCTGAGAAAGAGCAGCTTCTCACATCTCCGGGTTGCCCATGTCAGGGCCGCTTTGTCGCCTTCCTGGACGATTTTGGGGCCGGCTGGGACACGGGGGCGCCGCGCTCCTGCGAAAGGCTCGACGTGCCGGCCTAGATGTTGCTTCAGCATGGGGTGGAGCAGCTCTGGAGGACGCAGGAGGGCGCCCACGGCGACGAGCAGACTGAGGCCTGGCCCACGGGGCAGCGGTGGCTGGTGGTGCATCATGCCGGGGCAAGATGTGTTGGATGGCCTCAGTCTGCTTCTGCCGCTCGGCCCTCCTCCGGAGGAAGGAGCGGCGTTGTCCTCGCCGTCTCCTGAGAAAGAGCAGCTTCTCACATCTCCGGGTTGCCCGTGTCAGGGCCGCTTTGTCGCCTTCCTGGACGATTTTGGAGCCGGCTGGGGCACGGGGGGCGCCGCACTCCTGCGAAAGGCTCGACGTGCCGGCCTAGATGTTGCTTCAGCACGGGGTGGAGCAGCTCTGGAGGACGCAGGAGGGCGCCCACGGCGACGAGCAGACTGAGGCCTGGCCTGCGGGGCAGCGGTGGCTGGTGGTGCATCATGCCGGGGCAAGATGTGTTGGATGGCCTCAGTCTGCATCTGCACTGCCGAGAACTGCTGGGCAAAGCCCTCAACAGTGTCGCCGAGCAGCCCAGCCTGGGAGATGGGAGCGTCGAGAAAGCGTGCTTTGTCGATGTCTTTCATCCCTGCCAGGTTGAGTCTTGGACCACCAGAGTGGACATCGCCTTCCCGAGGAGGGGAAAGTCAGTCGCTGAGCGCAGCTCCTGCATCAACCTCGGGTCGGTGCTACCCTCGTGCATTTGTTTTAGCGCCTTGGCGAGCCGACGACAGCTTACAGGCTTTGGACAGGAGATGCGGACGATTCCTCCAAGTGGCAGTGTTTTGCGGGCACAGGTGCACTGCAGCCGCTTTCTCCACCTGGGGAATGTTAACGTACCCCCTAGCTGCACGGTGCAGTCTTGATGAAGTGAGCTTTACGCTTCCAGGAAAGGTCAGGGAGAAAAAGTCCCTTTAATTCTTTGCAAATTGTGTAGCTTTTACATAATGATACTTTCTATTATTGCAGCAGTTGGCTTTCTGTTATTATTAGTACAACTAACAGCTTTGAACCATAATCATATAATTTCATGTTGCCTTCATTAAATCATTGTTATTGGCTACTAAGCAAACCTTTTTGGTCAGCTGCAGTTCAATAGCGCACCTTTGAGGCCTTTGGTAAATGCTTTTATTTGGCAGTTTCTGCAAATGATATGAAATTACATTTTTCATACAGGAGCCATACTATGTGCGGTGTATAAAACCGAATGAGGTGAAGTCCCCCCTGCTGTTTGATGATGGTCGCTGCCAGCACCAAGTGGCGTACCTGGGACTGCTGGAGAATGTGCGTGTGCGTCGAGCTGGATTTGCCTACAGACAGCCTTATGCACGCTTTCTGCAGAGGTGAGAAATTACAGTTTAGATCAGTGGTTCTCAACCATTTTGATTCCAAGGGTCTTCACTGTCCAAGACAATATTTAGAGGCCCCCATAATATTTCTGGTTCTTCTGCTGTAATAACCACAATGTTTGTATTTTAGTATTACT